GGTGGCTGTCGGTCACCACACACATCTCCGCGCCATCCGTTCTCACTCCTGCAGTGCGGAGCGGCCGCACGGCGCCGTGAGAAACGCCTGCCCGGTGGTGGGACTCCGTAGGATGCCGGGTGTCCTCCCATCCTGCAGAAACAGGAGGGTAGTTGGGGGAGGTCCCACTTGTCCCCACATAGGGACGGGGAGTCCTTTAGGCGTCACATCCAGTGCCATGGCCGGCCCGCCTGAGCCCCGGCCTGCGGCCTGCTCCTCCGCTGCACCACGAGCAGCCAGGTCGTGAGGCCAGACCGCGCTCAAGGAAAAGAGATCCGTGCGAGCAGCCTGCGCCACGCGTAGCTTTCCTCCCTCCTTGTTAGCGTGGGATGTTCCGGTGTTAGCGTGTCATCAGACAAATTATTTTTTTCTTAATGCTGCCTGCTGAGCTTAGGAGTCTTTCTGCTCGTGTTGCCTCCCTGTTTAACTCAGTCGTGGCCTCACAAAAGGAGGAGAAACTTTGATTTTGACATGCCTTCTTCTCTGTTCCCTGCTACAACTTCTGCAGGAAAAAAATAGTGATCAAGGGCATCCATCGCCAGTCCTTCCAGGGCAGAGCAGGGCCTTGTGTCAGAGGTCTTCTCAAAGCCTTGGGCGCAGCTGAAGCTGAGCTGCCCGAGGACACAATCTGAGCCCTGGCTTTGTCACCATCACTGACCACAGGGCTACTCGCTCACATGCTTCAGAATGCTCTCTTGCAAAGTGTGGCGGATTTAAGCCACTGGTTACTGTGGCTTCTTGAATTGAGGCATCACTGGGAACTTGTGGTGATGAACATAGATGTAGCAGGTAGGGTCCAGCCATCAGCTGTGCTTGTACGGCTCTGCTGCAGCCGTGTCTGCAACAGCTTTTGGGGAAATAATTATTTTGGGTTGCCTTTCACCATCCCTGGGTCTGAAGATGGCTGTCACTTGCATCTTGTCTTTTCCACTGCTGAAGTCTCTGCAGTGTTATTTTCCTCATGGTGATGGTGACCACATTTCTGAGTGTCAAGGAGATCTCTAGCTCAAGCACATGTAATGCTGCTCTCATGTAACCTTGTTCTGTTCCCACTCCTCCTTACCGACCTCGGGAGCAGAATCAACAGGTGCCTTGAAATCCTCACCTGTAACATAAAGGGAGGAGGAACCACTACGTTATCAGATAATTCAGGGTTAATATATTGCTTTGAAATATCCAATTGAAAGGGCTATTTCAATTGCTGTTGAAAGAGATGCTGTTTCTGCAAGGGCTCCACTAAGGGCTCCCAGGGCCCAGACTGACATCTCTGCAGTTTGGGGAAAGATTGGGGCTTTCCTGTCCCCCTTCCTCAAGGGAAGGGCTGTTGCTAAACCTAGAGGGAAGGCAGCAGGACACGGGGATCTACCAGGGAAGCTGACAAGGCAGCTCGTCCAGGATTCACTGGGTGCATTGGCATAGTCAGTAATTTTTTTTTTTTTTTTTGCATAAAGGGAAAATAGTCAATAGGCCACAGAAGTGCTTTCAAAACCATGTTTCCTACATGGCTCTCCATCCACTATCCCTGCCGTACCCGTGGAGCGGGGGCAGCGGCCACTTGACGCTGCGTCGCGGTGCTGCCGGGCAGGCCGTGGAGCCAACGCCGCCCACAAACCTTCCCCCGTGCCCTTTTCTTGTGTTCCTCCCGGGTTAGAAAGAGTGGGAGACAAGTACCACTTCGGTGTCATCTTTGAAGTGAGTTTAAGGCAGTAGCATTTGCCATTTTAAATAGTAAGGCCCTGGTTTTCCCTTTACTCTGCATGCCCCAAAAAATCGTTACCATTAATGTCTGGGGAGGAAGTGTTTAGCCTGCTGATGCAGGAGTGAGATCAGGAGCAAGGCATAACTCTGCAAAGATTTATTCGTAGATTAGAATTAAAAGCAACCATCAGAGTATCACGTCTGACCTCATGTCTTAATACACGCTGTGGTATCACAGCTGCTTAATTCTGCCTTTAGCCCAAGAAGAGCATCAGAAAAGCAAGTACCCTTCATTAGCATATTCTAATATAGCAATATCTTCAGGCTTGGCTCATTCTTATGCCAAAACTAGGAGCCAAAAGCAGTGCAGTGCCTTATGGTATTGATGGGAAGCCCGTGGGAGGAGGAGATTTGGGTATTTTATCTGTCTGCAGAGGACATGGTTGTATGGCTGTACAAATATTTGCAGAGGGTTTTGTTTAGTACTTTTGAGAATTATTTGCTGGCAACTCTAACCAATGTAGAGCTGAAAATCAGTTCTGTATCGCTTTGAAGACATCATGGCATGAACTGAAATATGTTTCTTTTTAAAGAAGAAGACTTTGTCTTCAAAAATCTGTGTGGTCCTTGACAATTGCTTTCTAACATCTTCCGCTGGAAACTCCCCGCCAGTCAGCTTTCATGGGAAACACGCAGCACATTTCACATCTGGCTTCCCTTCTCTTGGACTATAACACAAAACTGCCCTTGAAATGCACCTGGAAAGCATTCAGCGGGATGCCACACATGCAGAAAAGAGGAGCCACGCTGTCTGAACGGGTTGCACTGGGCTCTTGAATGTCATAACCACCAGCCAGCGTCTTGCTGAGCAACTTGCTAAAGGGACAAGATGAACGTCTTGACCAGAGGGGACTTAGTAATGAACACAGATTTTCATGGCCCTTGCTATTATTAAAAATATATATATAATATGCTTGTTAATGTATAGGTGGCATATAAATATACATAAGTACAACTATATGTTATTTTTATGTTTTATAAATTACATTACTCTCGTATTTATTATTATATTTAGCATATCATACTGACGCAGTGCTAAAGGGATGAGACGAGAGATCCAAGAATTCAGACAAGAAGTAGTGCTTGCTGTCCTAAAGAAAAAGTCCCCTGGAGGTTGGAGGTTCCCCTTTGGTGTTCCCCATTTTTCTGTCACTGAGATGCTTTTGGGGTGATCTTGCTGTTCTGCTTGTCTCTCGAATATAAAGTGTCTTTGAGTCCTGTGTTTTTGAGTTTTCTTTATGTGAATTTTGGCAAGCGACTGGCATTGAGAGTAGAGGGTTGTCTCGTGACCCCAGGAACAGGGGTTTTGGTGTTAGCCCCAGATTTCACATTTGAAGGGGAACGTCCCCCTCAGGGAGCACCAGAAATCTCCAGGGTCTTGTTTCTCCTGGCAAGGTCATAGCCAAGACACAAGCTGCCATGGTTAATCCGTAGCCAAAAAAAGAGACATCAGCAACACATGTTGTTGAGGGAACCTCAGGGCACACGCTGTGTTGGTTCTGGTGAACCTTCTGCCGCGGGTGTCTCGGCGGTGAAAGGTCAGGCCAGGTCCGGCGCGGCTGCAGCTGTGGGATGGGTTGTGGAGCGGAGGGGAGAGCCTTTCCCCATGACTAAGAAAGAGTGGGAGTGACTCAGGAAGAGAGTGCTGCAAACACATGTGCCACCAGCGTAAGCGCCCGTGGTCCTTTGCATTGGCTTCAAAGTGGGGTCCTGGACAGTGTGCATGAACAGTATTTATGCAACTCAAGGAATCTAGAGACAAAAAAAAAGAGTTACCTTCTTCTGTTCAAGCTTAAGGAGAATTTTACTCAGCCGTGTAATGGTCTAAGTTCTTCATTGGCAGTAAACTGCTTTTCTAGGAATTTGTGTAGCAAGTAAAAAGCCAGTAAGGATTTCCCAACCTCCTTGACTTATTTGTGCTTGTGCTTCTTTGCAGTTGTCCAACACAGCGATTCTTCACCAGGTCAGACGAGACCAAGTGACAGACACCTGCCGAGCAAACAGTGTCTCGAGCAGGAAACGCCGAGTGCTGACGCCCAACGATCTCAAACATCTGGTGGTGGATGAAGACCATGAAATGATCTATTGTTACGTTCCCAAAGTGGCCTGCACAAACTGGAAGAGAGTCATGATGGTTTTGACAGGAAGAGGCAAGTACAGTGATCCGATGGAAATACCAGCCAATGAAGCCCATGTGTCTTCAAATTTGAAGACCCTCAACCAATACAGCATCCCAGAAATCAACCACCGCTTGAAAAACTACATGAAGTTCCTATTTGTTCGGGAGCCTTTCGAGAGGCTGGTGTCAGCCTACAGGAACAAGTTCACCCAGAAGTACAACACTTCCTTTCACAAGAGATACGGCACCAAAATCGTGAGGCGTCAGAGAAAAAATGCGACCCAGGAAGCTCTGCGGAAAGGTGATGACGTGAAATTTGAGGAGTTTGTGGCGTATCTCATCGACCCGCACACGCAAAGGGAAGAGCCCTTCAACGAGCACTGGCAGACTGTGTACTCCCTCTGCCACCCCTGCCACATTCACTACGACCTCATAGGAAAATACGAAACGCTCGAGGAGGATTCCAACTACATCCTCCAGCTCGCGGGAGTCGGCAACTACCTGAAGTTCCCCACCTATGCAAAGTCCACGAGAACTACTGACGAAATGACCACAGAGTTCTTCCAGAACATCAGCTCGGAGCACCAAACGCAGCTCTATGAAGTCTACAAACTTGATTTTTTAATGTTCAATTACTCAGTGCCAAGCTACCTGAAATTGGAATGAGGGATGGGTTGGGGGAGAGAGGGGAGAGAAAGCCTGTTTTATTTAAGATTTTTATTTGTCATAATAAATATGGAGAATGGGTTATTTTGTAAATTAATATTTTCTTTTTTTTTTTTTGAATGATGCTGCGAGCAGCACAGTCAAAATTATTTAAATCAACTGTAAGAAAGGACAGCTCTCTTTGCAGGGTAACAGCATTGTGACGATCTAGCTGTAGAAATGAATAATTCTGCTACACTGTTTTAAAATGTTACTTGTGTTCTGGTGACTTTCCTTGATCTTGCATTCCTCAAATTCTAATTAATGTTATTTATACTTATTTAAAACATGGTCTCTCGGTAGGTTTCACTTTAGCAGCATAAACAAGATAGCGTGGACAAAAGGAATCTGGTTTTGTACTTTCCTCAGTTGAGCTCGTCTCTAGATATTAATACTCCTCCATTAGGCTTTCATGCTGGTAAATGTGGGAGTGGTTCTTGATAACCACATCTTGAAAAATACTGGTGGAAATAATTTCTTCAGAGAATGATATTGCACTTAGGCATGCTGAAAGGCTGTCTTACTAGTCCTGTGAGGAAAAAAAATCAGATTTTGGTAGATACATGATATCTAAAATTCCTATCTGAGAGAATTGTGAATGTATTCCTGAGAAAGAGAAACCATGAACTTTTTAATTTGGTCCGAATGATTTTTATGAAGAATATAATTAGAATCCCAGTGTCTCATAATTCCCAGCCTGCCAGCCCAGCTGAATGCAGATTTACATCAGAATGCAGATTGGTGGATGTTGCATCAGAAAAATCAGCATTTTGAAAGTAGCGGTTTTGCAAGTGGGGGGTTTGTGACTGCCCAAAGCAAAAGACACTTAATTCTTATCCAGGATGTGAAGGGTGAGGGCCTCCCACCTTCTGAAAGATCCTGCCTTCTTAACCAAGGGGCAACCAGAATTTCTCATGTGCTCAGAAAGTGCCGGTCATAATACATTGCTATAAAGGATGCGGGCATGTCATTTAAGACGTCAAAAAGGCATCTTCTGGTTAATCTGCAAGCATGCAAGGCAATAAAAAAGGTCTCTCATCTTCCTACATGCTGGTTTCACGACTTTTTCCTCTCATGGGGAGTGGGAATCTTATTTTTTTAGTGGATTTCTAATTTCCAGCAAGCTGATATTCCAGCTAGGTTAATTCTAGCATGAGAACATCCCCTTTTCCCATAGGGTGAATGTTTCAGTCGCAGCTATTGCGCTTACGGTACTCGTTGGGATGGCAGGTTGGACAAGCAGTAGGATACCAAACAATCGTTTTGAACAGGCAAAGTTGTTGTTCACAGCAAATAAGTAAGGAAAGAAAGGGATTTTAATGTGGAGGTGCACTAGCCAGCCCAGGGAGCAGAGGCTGCACAGGCTTCTCCAGGTGTTTAGTTTGGTGCAAGTGAGATGTGCAGCCAGGAGAGCAGGGGGAGTGCGGCAGGACATCGGTCCCTGCATGCCCCCAGGCTGTCCTGAGCAGGGAGCCCCTGTTTCCACCACCAAGAAAGTTCAGATTTCCAAAAAACATGGAGTGGCTTTGGTTTTTGCCAGCCTCCATGAACCTGCAGTTTTTCTGGCAAAAAAAAGAGGGCAAATCGGCAAAGGGAGGCTGAGGCTTAAGTGGAAAAATTTGCAGGAACCTCAAATCTATTTTACAGTTGACTGATAAAATGGCATTTTGAATTGCAATCTTCCTATAAGCAAATCCAATATTTCTAAAAAATGAGTGAAAAACTACATAAACTCAGCAGAAGGCAGATTTTTTTTGACAGTATCAAGGCCAGATCCTGAAAAAGTTCTAATGTGCTGCAGCTGATAATAGCCAGTGAATTTCATTAGCCACCAAGACACGTACATGGTTAAAGAAGAAAAAGATAGGATCCATCTTATTTTATAGAAATCAGTCACTAAGTAAATCTCAGTGAAGAACAAATTAGCATAACAAGCACCAGCGAAAGGCCTTTCACAATTGTGTTTGGGCTTACCCAGGATTTGGAGAGTTATTATTTTATCATGCCCTACAAATAAATCTCTCATCCATGCTGGAACAGACACGGTTTTTATTACCCAGGGCCTATTTATAATCTGGAAGACTAACACAAGGGCTAGTGAAGAAGTGGCTGTCTAAATCTGACAACTCTGAATTCCTAAGTGGTTTCTGATTGCTGACTAGTGTTTTACTTGAAAGCAGTTTTGTCTCGTTTAGAGTATGCGGAGCTGTTGCAAGTGCCTATCACAGTGTGCCCTGTTCTTTTATTTGTAATTCAATGGTTTGTTAAAAAAAAAAAATCTGTATGAGAGTAGATGAGATTTCCCATCACCACCATCAATATTTCCAACAAGCTATTTACTTGCTTGCTGTTGTATTCAGCTGTGCTAATGTTTTGGTCCTATTTTCTCTTTGATTACTCTGGTTGAGTCCACTCCAACCAGATCTAATTTAAAGGTCTTCATTTAAAAAAAAAAAAAAGGCTGCAAAAAGCAAATATTTTAAAATGGGGAGTGCTCCCCCCCACTTCTTTCTGTACTTTTTGCTTATCTTGCTCATGAGCACATGGTTATCTGCTCTTGGCTCTTCCCTTGCGTTTGGCTGCGCTGGGGACACAGAGGTCGGAAGCGCGCCGAGGAGCTGGCGGGGGCTGCGCTGTTTGAGCTGGGGCTTTCCTGGGTTGGTTCCCCACGTCCTGCTTCTCTGCAGCCTCCTGGCACCCGGGTGCAGGCTCCACCCCGAGTGGCTCCTGTCCAGTCGGACACGGGTGCTTCCTCATCACTGACTCATCGGTGTCTTGGTCCCAGGGCACTGTTGGCCTCACGTGCTGTGTCTCATGGCCTGCATGCCACGTATTGCCTGTGGGCTTTCTTGTTGGAAATGCTCAACAGACAAGTGGGATGTGACGTTGTCCTGCGCACGGAATACAGGGCCCGAATTAGGTCTAACCAAGGAGGATGGGAAACGTTAGGGAATAACGTCCTTATTCGGGCTGCTGGGCATGCTGTTTTGCCAGAGCCTAAAGATGCTTTTTGAACTGACCTTCATGGGCAGATGTGCGGGGTGGTTCCTCCTCCGCTTGGAGACCCTTCGCAGAGAGGAGGCAGGTCAGGGAAGCAGGTTTCTTTCATCCCCTCTCTTCACTGCGTTTCCATCCTGGACAAGTAGGGCTGTCTGCCTGCTGCCTCCTTCCAGTGCCCGTCGGGGACAGGTTTGTTCTCACTGTGGGCACAGCTAGTCCCAGGAAAGGAAAAGGCCAAACTGTATCCACGGCAAGAGACGCTTGAGGAGCTGCTATTTTAGAACATGATGTTGGTTATGGTCAGGTAGTGGGGAGAGAGGATCAGCTGCCAGCCCCCTCAAAAAACGTTGGACCTGAAGGTGGTGAGAGCTGGTGCTTCCCCACGAGCTGTGCGGGGAGCCCCTCGGCTGAGCCCCGCGGCGGCCGCAGCAACAGG